AGCATAACACCCTCCAGTTCCATCCACGTCGTTGCAAAGGGCAAGATCTCATTCCTTTTGATGGCTGCATAATATTCCATTGTGTATGTATACCACATCTTCTTTATCCATTCATCTGTCGATGCACATCTTGGCTCTTTCCACAGTTTGGCTATTGTGGACATTGCTGATATAAACATTGGGGTGCACGTACCCCTTCGGGTCCCGACATTTGTATCTTTGGGGTAAATACCCAGTAGTGCAATTGCTGGATCGAATGGTAGCTCTAATTTCAACTATCAACAGTAAATCTTTTTTTTTTAAATTTTTTTATTGTTATGTTAATCACCATATATTACATCATTAGTTTTTGGTGCAGTGTTCCATGATTCATTGTTTGTTCATAACACCCAGTGCTCCATGCAGAATGTGCCCTCCTCAATACCCATCACCAGGCTAACCCATCCCCCTACCCCTCCCCTCTAGAACCCTCAGTTTGTTTTTCAGAGTCCATCATCTCTCATGGTTCGTCTCCCCCTCTGACGTACTCCCCTTCTCTTCCTCTCCTGTTATCTTCTTCTTTTTCTTTTTTCTTAAAATATGTTGCGTTATTTGTTTCAGAAGTACAGATCTGTGATTCAACAGTCTTGCGCAATTCACAGCGCTCACCGTAGCACATACCCTCCCCAATGTCTATCACCCAGCCACCCCATCCCTCCCACCCCCAACCACTCCAGTAACACTCAGTTTGTTTCCTGAGATTAAGAATTCCTCATATCAGTGAGGTCATGTGATACATGTCTTTCTCTGATTGACTTATTTCACTCAGCATAACACCCTCCAGTTCCATCCACGTCGTTGCAAATGGCAAGATCTCATTCCTTTTGATGGCTGCATAATATTCCATTGTGTATATATACCACATCTTCTTTATCCATTCATCTGTCAATGGGCATCTTGGCTCTTTCCACAGTTTGGCTATTGTGGACATTGCTGCTATAAACATTGGGGTACACGTACCCCTTCGGGTCCCTACATTTGTATCTTTGGGGTAAATACCCAGTAGTGCAATTGCTGGATCGAATGGTAGCTCTAATTTCAACTATCAACAGTAAATCTTAATCTACTATTAAGATTACAGGGATTCTGGAGCCAGAAATGCTGGTTTTCCATCAAGAACTAAATAGAGGCCAACTCTCCTTCTTTTAATCCTTAGACTAAATTTAAGCCTAAATTAAGATATCAGATATCTAATATTTGCAATTGGTATAATAATCATTGGCTTCAAGGAATGAAATAGTTTGAAAATTAGAAGAATATCACAAAGGGTGGCTGCTTGTAGTAGAATTATTGTTTTGGAGCATTTCCTTTGATTTTAGGGAAAGTGCATGGGTACTTTTACTCTTTTTTTCTTAAACCAAGGAAGCCTAGCTGAATACTTGGTGATTTGGTTTGAAACTCAGTGATAAACCCATTGTATTCATATTACAGAGTTTGTGTTGGAGAAACACAATTTTTAGTGTAGTATTAATTTCTGAAATATATACATATAAATATGATTATACTTTGACCAAGCAAGTGCTACTTCTAGAAAATTTTAATATAATTCCAGAAGAAGAAAACAAGTGAGGGCACCTGGGTGGCTCAGTTGGTTAAGCGACTGCCTTCGGCTCAGGTCATGATCCTGGAGTCCCGGGATCGAGTCCCGCATCGGGCTCCCTGCTCAGCGGGGAGTCTGCTTCTCCCTCTGACCCTCTCCCCTCTCATGCTCTATCTCATTCTCTCTCTCAAATAAATAAATAAAATCTTTAAAAAAAAAAAAAAGAAAAGTGATATGTGTAGATATTTTTATAGCATGTTATTTGCCAATGTGAAACACTTGTAAAGGTACTAAATACTCAGCAAGTGCGAATTGGGTCATTAATCTTATGATAATTTGGGCTATTATATTAGATAATTATACTATTACTTTTAATTGGACATATTTTAAATTCGATGTAGAAAATGCCAAAAGAGGGGCGCCTGGGTAGCTCAGTCGTTAAGCGTCTGCCTTCAGCTCAGGTCATGATCCCAGGGTCCTGGGATTGAGTCCTGCCTTGGGCTCCCTGCTCAGCGGGAGGCCTGCTTCTCCCTCTCCAACTCCCCCTTCTCTCTCTTGCTGTCTCTCTCTCTGTCAAATAAATAAAATCTTAAAAAAAAAAAAAGAAACATGCCAAAAGAAAAATACACACCTTTTATTAAATTTTATTTTGCAATTTCTTATTCCTTTGATTTGAAACGAGACATGTGACATCTTTCTTCTGCACTGAGATATCAATGCCAAGTCTTATAACTCACTTGAAAGGAGCAAACTAGAACTCAGCCTTGACTCCTTTAACTGGAAGAGCTATTTAGTTTTACTCAGTTTCATTATATAATAAATTCTATAAAGCTCCTTTAAATATTCAAAACTAATGTAAAAATATTAAAAAAAAGAAATGAGCATTGCGATTAACGATGTAACCACGTAAGAGGCTGACGTGAACGGCAAAAATGTTCGATGTGTGCTCATTAAGATGTTAACATTGCTGATTGGTGGGAATTCAAGTGATTATTTTCTTTTTTTTATAATGAATATGCTTTTTTACTGAGATGGAAATAGACATTTTTTCCCCCTTTTCCTTTCCACATGTGGGAACCAATCTCCTGTCAAGCCTTGCCAGTTCCTATCTAGTATATGTGACAGAGTCAGGCTCCCTTGAAAGCGTAACCAGCGTGCCACGGAGGAAACTACCACCGTGAAAATAAACATTCTCCAAAGGAGTCTGAAAGTTCCGGGGGCTAGACGGCCTTGTCATTGTGAGGATAGGTAATGATTAAATTTTGCCTCAAACACTGAATTTAAATAAGGATTAAATTAAACATATAACTTTATGTTTTTACTCTCTTGGGTCATTTGTTTCATTAATCATTAAATTCGATCTCTGTGTCCCTCTTATTATTATTATTTTATCACAATTATGATTTTATGGGCTTAGAATGGAAGGTTAGTTCAGCAGGAGTATGAGAGGTTATGAGGAGCCTGCAGAGTAGTCCACTGAAACCTAGGAAAGGCCTCCTTGCTAGCTCAGCCTCCGACTGTGGGTTAAACCAGGCCATGCAAAGGAGCCCTCCAGGCAGCCCTGCCAGGGCACCATGGTTGCAAGAACTGGGAAAGGTGGTAGGTTACTATAAATAACACCCTAACTTATTTATGCAACTGGGGGAAAAAAAAACTGATATAGATCTTAAGAGGTAAGAAAAGCTGATCTGCTTTGGATTTTATGTCCCTTCTAACATTTGTTATTATTTTTTTTTCTACTTAACTTTATCTGGTATCTAGAACACAAGCAAGATAGCCTTAAAAGGCATAGGTGGATACTCCTTTCCAGCCCCTAGGACGTAAGCAAGGAAAGAGCGTTGCCACACATGTGGACATGTACTCTTTCGTGGGCTTTCCGTGTCCATCAAAACATACCTGCTGTTCTTGGGCCTCGGAACAGACAGCAAAGGCTGATATTTGATATGGAACGAGCTTGCTGTTTGACTACTTGGTGAAGGCTCCTTTCATCTTTATCAGGAGATGGATCACAAGGCCAAACTCCAGAGTACACTTAGTCACTAAAAAAATGGACTTAAGCACTGGCCATTACCAAGGGGATGGAAAGGTATAGGTGTCCAGCAGCTAAAACACCCTGAAGTATCTCATTAGGGCCAGAAAGGGGGCCAATCACTCTCAAACAAGTGGCTCTGGCTCAGGTGCTGAACTCCTCCCTTCACTCTACACTCTTTATAGCCCTTCACATCATATATGCCAAGGACTCTAGGTTTCACTTATAAGAAACTTTAAAATGGTCATGAGATTTCTTCAAATGGAATCATGTCTACATGAAGGGCTGATGCCGAAATTAGGAGTGTGTAGGCTCAGTGGGCTGGCTGGGCTCAGATCCCCCATAAGACAGGAACTTACTGAGAACAAAGGAAATCTAATTCTTATTAAGAGATGATGACATCTGGCCTAGGGTAGCTGCTTCTCAAAAGCAGGTAATATTCTCCCCTGCAGGAGTGACTCACACTGCCTTCTCTTCAACGTGTGAATAATTGCATTTTGCATGTGTTAACCGTGAAGACCCTTTTAGTTCCAATAGTTCAAATACAACAGCACCTGGATCTATAGTTCTGTTCTCCCAGCAAGCTTTTTCATCCTCCTTCTGGTTTCTACCTCCTGCTTTGCTCTCCTTTTGGGGGGATATTTCTCCCGCTAAACAGGAGGCCTTAGGAGAGGCATTCTACGACAAGACGAGTCCATGATCCAGTCCTAGCCAATCAGAGTGCGCCATGTCCAGAGTCAAAGCGATTAGGTTAGTACAAGCCATGTGACCCAAGCAGGACCAATCCAAATCTTCCCTGGGACTTTTCAGCTGGGCCAAAATGCAAAACTGCTTTTTACAAAACTTTTTTAAAAAAAGGAATTTTAAACATATGCTAAAGTGGTGAGAATCATATATGAGCTCCTTGGAACTCAACACCCAGCTTCGACATTTATCAACCAATGGGAAATCTAGAGAAGGATAAACTGTCTTTTTCTACTGGGGATGTTGTACCTGGGAGGATGGTGCTGCCAACAGCCATCCTATCTGTTGGTGGAGTGAGTCTGACTCCAAAAGAAACCCAAACAGCAACGTGGAATTATAGCAGAGCCTTGAAGGCTACATTTGAGCTCCTTAATCCAGCTGATCCTGAAGCCACAGCTACCCCTGTACTTTCTTCCTGCTTAACCAGATCGAGGAGGGTTTCTGGTTCTTGCAAAATGTGGCATCTAAGATGAGAACCTTAAAGAAATACTCAATAAATATTTTTTAACATTGTGTTTATTTTTGAGGTATCTGGGAAAAAAAATTCATGGGAAATCTTTAAGAGGACTAAAGGGGAAGGAGCGCTCTAGACATATTAAAATGAGATCATCAGGGGGCGCCTGGGTGGCTCAGTCAGTTGAGCATTTGCCTTTGGCTCAGGTCACGATCCTGGGGTCTTGGGATCAAGTCCTGCATCGGGCTCCTTACTCAGCGGGGAGCCTGCCTCTCCCTCTGCCTGCCACTCCCCCTGCTTGTGCTGGCTCTCTCTCTCTCTCTGATAAATCTTTAAAACAAACAAACAAACAAAAAACAAACAAGATCATCAGCCCTTTAACTTCACTCTGCCCAAAGGATAATGTCAGTCCCACTGAAATAATAGCCATCTACGAAAAAATTTAAACTCTGTAACATAAAACATCATGAAGGGCTGTAACAATGGGTGGATATTTTCAGCCTTAAAAACAACAAGAACAACAAAAAACCTCATACACAAAATAATCAGGGCCTCAAACCCATTCGGAGTCTCTGACTTTGAATTATCTTCAGAGCAAGGAACGAATGGATACAATCACTCCTGAGCATTCAGATAAGCCATTCTTGGGTATGTAATGAACTCTTTTCTTGGCTGTTCCTTCACCATCCACAACACTTACACTTTTGCTTTGCTAGTTCTTGTATGACATCTTCATACACTTGTGAAAAGAGATCCTCTTCTGATTTTGTTCCATCTAGGTAAACTGAAAAGGGGAAAGGAGAGTGGTTCAAATGCCAATGGGCCTATTAGCAGAGGATTCTTACTCTGGCATCTGACATCTCTTAAGAATACTAGTAAGTTTAGGGGCGCCTGGGTGTGTCAGTCAGTTAAGCATCCGACTCTGGATTTTGGCTCAGGTCACGATCTCAGGGTAGTGAAATCGAGCTCCGCGTCGGATTCTGCACTGGGCTTGGAGCCTGCTTGAGATTCTGTCTCTCTCATTCTGCCCCTCCCCGCTCAAAAAAAAAAAAAAAAGAATACCAATAGATTTAAATGAACACAGGATCTTAAACACTTAAAAAGAAATTAATAGCCATTAAAGACAGAAAGAGATTAGAGTCAGGAAAAATAAATAAAGAAAAATTGGTTTAATAGGGAGAAATGCATATTAACAGATGTGGAAATTATTTTTTGAAAAAGAAAGAGTTAAATGGCACTGTGTATGTGACCCTTTAGCAGCACTGAGGTGGTGCCTCCCCAGAAGAATCATTTAAGGGGGTGGTTCTCCAACTTACTTATGCATCAGGATCTCTCGTGAAGCTTTTTTCTTTTTGGTGCAAAAAGGTGATTTTTATTAAAGCACAGGGTCAGGACCCGTGGGCAGAAAGAACCATGCAGGGGTTTGGTCTCTGCCACGTGTACTGACTCAGCATTCTCCAGGCCTGGGAGATATGTATTCTTACCCAAAATGGCATAGGTAATTTTAGAGAAAAGGTGGAAGTTAAGTAGGTTAAAGGAAGAAAAGAAAGCTTTAATCAGAAAACTGGAGGTAAGAGATAAGTTTGCTTGTTAAGAAAAGGATGAACAGTTTGGAAGGGCTAGAATGTGGGAGGTAGGAACACTGGAGAGATGAGATTTTAGAGCAAGGCTGTCTATGCCTTAGTCTTTAGGAGCCTGTTTGCATTTTATCCCAAAAAGTTGGAGACTTTTTTTTTTTTAAGGATTTTATTTATTTATTTGTCAGAGAGAGAGCACAAGCAGGGGGAGTGGCAGGCAGAGGGAGAAGCAGACTCCCCACTGAGCAAGGAGCCCGATGTGGGATCCTACAACCCTGGGATCATGACTTGAGCTGAAGGCAGCCGCTTAACCGATTGAGCCACCCAAATGTCCCACCAAAAGCTGGAGACTCTTTGCAGGCATTTAAACAAAGTGGGGGCATGGTTAGATGGGCATTTTTTTTTAAAGTTTCATTTTTAAGCAATCTCTCCACCCAATGTGGGTCTTGAATTCACAACGCTGAGATCAAGAGTTGCATGCTCCACCGACTGAACCGGCCAAGCACCCCTAGATTGGCAATTAAGATGGAGAGGGAGAGAGGGGCCCCCTCTATATCTCTTATGTCATTCTGTTCTATTAAGCACGTAATACACCCATGCTCACATAGCCAGGGCAATCTCACTGAAACAAGAACTTGGTAATTACCATGTCCTTGTTTGAAACCTCTCTGTAGAGGGCTTCCCAATTCTCTGAGGATAATGACCCAAGTCCTTAACTGGCCTATGGCCTTGTAGAGTTTAGATCTTCCTTTGTGTCTCCAACATCCCCTCTCTCTCTTGGTTTTCTCTACCAAAAATACACCAACTTTTTTTCGGGTGCTATTCATTCCTTCCTGTCCCTGGCCTTTTTGTGTACTGTCTGGAGTGATCTTCTGTGCCCCTCAACCTACCTCCCTTTGTCCAGTTAAACCCCTCAGAGTGGGGTTTAAGTGGCTTCCTCAAGGAAGCCTTCCCTGATTGCTGGGCCTCGGGTAGTCCCCCTGGAACGTGGTGTCACAGCACTCAGCATAGCTAGAAAGGACATGCTCAGGCAGCTAGTGTCTTTAAGGCCTGTTTCCCTGATAGAATGCCGGCTCCTAAGAGTAGGGGCTGGGTTTGTCTTATTTTCCTCAGTATCAACAGGGCAGTGCCTTGTCAGGAAGGCATTCGATTGATACCTGTTTCGTGAATGACCATCTAGAAGTTCACAGGCTTTGATAAGAGCCTTACAGAGAGAAACAGAAACCAGGACAGTCAATTGTGGAACGGCCCAGAGTATTCTGGCTTAAAGGTTTCCTTTATAATGTAATCCATGAGAAAAATACCTCCTTTTAAAAAATCCTTTCTCTTGTGGACTTGAAGCAACGACAAATAAAGGCCTTCTGTGGGGGGAGAAAAGGTACTTACCAATTTCCCACGTGATATTCTCCATTTCTTGTCTGTGCTTTAGATACATGGGCCACACGTGGCCATCAAAGTACCCTGGGACGTCTGGAGGCTCGTAGACCCTTGTACTACCAAAACACATAGGAAACTTTATGTGCACAGAAACACACAATTGATAAAAGTAAAATAATAATGGTCAGGATAATGGGAAAAATCACTGAGACTGAATCTAAACAGAATTCAGAGTATACATTTTAGATTCAACACTAGTTACAGAGAGAACAAAACAGATTTAGTTTTCTGATGCAAATTACTTTTGTAATTCACTATCATTCATAATTATCTCCCCCTCCTTCAGTGCTTTAGAAGAGAATTAAGAGAAATATCAATGTTAATAATGACAGAGGACCTGATATCTTGGCTTAAGCTTTCAATTAATTGGTGTTCTTTGTGTCTGTAACAGAGTAAAAGCTCTTGAATTTAGAATCATAATCCACATATATTTTACTTAAAAAATTTATTTTTAATTGAAGTATGGTTGACACACAAGGTTACATTAGTTTCTTTTTTAAGATTTTATTTATTTATTTGACAGAGAGAGACACAGCGAGAGAGGGAACACAAGCAGGGGGTGTGGGAGAGGGAGAAGCAGGCTTCCCGTGGAGCAGGGAGCCCGATGCGGGGCTCGATCTCAGGACCTGGGGATCATGACCTGAGCCGAAGGCAGACGCTTAATGACTGAGACACCCAGGCGCCCTGAGGTTACACTGCTTTCGATCGAACAATATAGGGATTCAACTTCTCCTTATGTTAGGCTCTGCGCACCCTGAGCGTAGCTACCGCCTGTCACCATACTGTGTTGTTACAAACACTACGGACCCTACTCCTTCTGCTGTGCTTTCCATACCCGTGTTAATTTTGTCTTTTGAGTTAGAATCTGCAAAGGCGGTTTCAAAACTCACCTCCTCCTCCTCTTACATTCTTCATAAGGGATCGTCAGAAAGTAGCTTCGGTTCCACAGAGTGTCGAGGGGCCTAAAATAACGGCGTCTTGAGTTCACGAGGTTCCCCCCAATCATTCAGGGTCAATACGAGGTTGAGGATGCTTACTTATAATTAAAGAGAAGGAAGCCTTCGATGATTAATACGGGAATTTCCTCGGTGCTTCCAGAGTCTGTTGATGCCAGTGAATGTCTTGGGCTTTCCATCCAGCAGGAAATGGTGGACATCATTTTTTCCATGTTAAGCGCTTCAAGCACTTCAAACAAACATACAAAAATATGAAATCAATACAACAAAAGGTCTATGATGTGGCTTTTTATGAGGAGTATATCCAGGGCTCTATAAATACATAGAAAATGGTATTTTATTTACCCTTCAAAATACTTAATAATAAATATTTTAGACAAACTTAAACTCTATTATTGACAAATTGGCATGTTTGAAACATTTCTAATAAGGAAAATTTCAAATATATATAAAAGTAGAGAGTACAGTGAATTCCCATGTCCCCATTACCAGCTTTGGCAATCATAAACTCATAGCTAATATTGCTTTATTTATAGTGTCTATCCCTCCCGACTATACAAAAGTTTAACATTTTTGGGTGACAAAATATCTGTACCTCTGAAACAAATAATACATTATATGTTAAAAAAAAAAAAAAAGAAGATAGTAGGAAGGGAAGAATGAAGGGGGGGAAATCAGAGGAGGAGACGAACCATGACAGACTACGGACTCTGAGAAACAAACTGAGGGTTCTAGAGGGGAGGGGGTTGGGGGATGGGTTAGCCTGGTGATGGGTATTAAAGAGGGCACGTTCTGCGTGGAGCACTGGGTGTTATATACAAACAATGAATCATGGAACCCTACATCAAAAACTAATGATGTAATGTATGGTGATTAACAAAACATAATAAAAAAAGAGATATGATTACATAAATGTAATGGGATATCCTACATGGGATTATGGAACAGAAAAAAAATGTTAAAACTAAGGAAATCTGGTGGCAGGAGCAAGATGGCGGAGGAGTAGGAAACCTAAATTTCGTCTGGTCCCAGGAATTCAGCTGGATAGGGATCAAACCATTCTGAACACCTACCAACTCAACAGGAGATTGAAGAAAAGAATAGCAGCAACTCTCTGAAAGAAAAACGACCACTTTCTGGAAGAGTCATATTCTATCCCTTCATAGTAGTTAACCTTATTTTTGGTATATATGTATATAGATAAGTTGCTCTATCTTTAAAATTTTGGGATACAGTTTCTTCTAACAGACCAAAATATACCATAAATCTCTAGTGTCTTCTTATCAATTCCTTTCATAAAATCTTTTATAATTTTCATCTTTACAGTCATATTCCATCCCTTCATTGTATTTACCCTTACTTTTGTACATATATGAGTTTTTCTTTCTTTAAAATTTTGGGAGGCACTTTCTTCTAACAGACCAAAATACATCCAAAATCTAGTGTGTGGCACTGATCTATGTACCAGCCTGATCATATTTGATCATATTCTGTTTTTTGTTTTGTTTTGTTTTGATCTTTTTCTTTTTTCTTTCTTTCCCTTTCTTTTCCCCCGGTTTCAGGTCTTTTCTGATATGTTTAGAGTATATTCTCTGGGATGTTGTTACCCTGTTAGCATTTTGTTCTCTCATTCATCTATTCTCCTCTGGACAAAATGACAAGATGGAAAAAATCATGTCAAAAAAAAGAACAAGAGGCAGTACTGACTGCCAGGGACCTAATCAATATGGACATTAGTAAGATGTTGGAACTAGAGTTCAGAATGATGATTTTAAAGATACTAGCTGGGGGCGCCTGGGTGGCTCAGTCGTTAAGCGTCCACCTTCAGCTCGGGTCATGGTCCCAAGGTCCTGGGATCGAGCCCTACATCGGGCTCCCTGCTCGGCGGGAAGTCTGCTTCTCTTTCCCCTGCTCCCCCTGCTTGTGTTCCCACTCTCACTGTGTCTCTCTCTGTCAAATAAATAAATAAAATCTTTAAAAAAAAATAAAGATACTAGCTGGGCTTGAAAAAAGCATGGAAGATATTAGAGAAACCCTTTCTGGAGAAATAAAAGAACTAAAATCTAACCAAGTCGAAATCAAAAAGGCTATTAATGAGGTATAATAAAAAATGGAGGCTCTAACTGCTAGGATAAATGAGGCAGAAGAGAGGATCAGTGATATAGAAGACCAAATGATGGAAAATAAAGAGGCTGAGAAAAAGAGAGATAAACAACTACTGGATCATGAGGGCAGAATTCGAGAGATAAGCGATACGATAAGACGAAACAACATTAGAATAATTGGGATCGCAGAAGAAAGAGAGAGAGGGGCGAAAGGTATATTGGAGCAAATTATAGCAGAGAACTTCCCTAATTTGGGGAAGGAAACAGGCATCAAAATCCAGGAGGCACAGAGAACCCCCCTCAAAATCAATAAAAATAGGTCAACACCCCAACATCTAATAGAAAAACTTACAAGTCTCAGAGACAAAGACAAAATCCTGAAAGCAGCTTGGGAGAAGAGATCTGTAACTTACAATGGTAGAAACATTAGATTGGCAACAGACCTATCCACAGAGACCTGGCAGGCCAGAAAGGACTGGCATGACATCTTTAGAGCACTAAATGAGAAAAATATGCAGCCAAGAATACTATATCCAGCTAGGATGTCATTGAAAATAGGAGAGATAAAAAGCTTCCAGGACAAACAAAAACTAAAGGAATTTGCAAACATGAAACCAGCCCTACAAGAAATATTGAAAGGGTCCTCTAAGCAAAGAGAGAGCCTAAAAGTAACATAGACCATAAAGGAACACAGACAACATACAGTAACAGTCACCTTACAGGCAATACAATGGCACTAAATTCGTATCTTTCAACAGTTACCCTGAATGTAAATGGACTAAATGCCCCAAACAAAAGACACAGGCTATCAGACTGGATTAAAAAACTAGACCCATCGATATGCTGTCTGCAAGAGACTCATTTTAGACCCAAAGACACCCCCAGTTGAAAATGAGGGGGTGGAAAACCATTTACCATGCTAATGGACACCAAAAGAAAGCTGGGGTGGCAATCCTTATAACAGACAAATCAGATTTTAAACCAAAGACTATAATAAGAGATGAGGAAGGGCACTATATCATACTTAAAGGGTCTATCCAACAAGAAGATCTAACAATTGTAAATATCTATGCCCCTAACATGGGAGCAGCCAATTATATAAGCCAACTAATAGCAAAAGCAAAGAAACACATCGACAACAATACAATAATAGTGGGGGACTTTAACACCCCCCACTGAAATGGACAGATCATCTAAGCAAAAGATCAACAAGGAAATAAAGACTTTAAATGACTCACTGGACCAAATGGACTTCACAGACATATTCAGAACATTCCATCCCAAAGCAATAGAATACACATTCTTCTCTAGTGCCCATGTGCCTATTCTCCAGAATAGATCACATCCTAGGTCACAAATCAGGTCTCAACCGGTACCAAAAGATTGGGATCATTCCCTGCATATTTTCAGACCACAATGCTTTGAAACCTGAAGTCAATCACGAGAGGAAAGTCAGAAAGAACTCAAAATACATGGAGGCTAAAGAGCATCCTACTAAAGAATGAATGGGTCAACAGGAAATTAAAGAAAGAAGAGTTTTGATCAAGAAAGGATGCTATACTTTGTCAAATGCTTTTTCTGGGCTCTTTTCTGTTCCATTGAAGAAAAAATTAAAGAAGAATTAAAAAAAATTCATGGAAACAAAGGAAAATGAAAACACAACTGTTCAAAATCTTTGGGATACAGCAAAGGCAGTCCTAAGAGGAAAGTATATAGCAATACAAGCCTTTCTCAAGAAACAAGAAAGGTCTCAAATACACAACCTAACCCTACACCTAAAGGAGCTGGAGAAAGAACAGCAAATAAAGCCTAAACCCAGCAGGAGAAGAGAAGTAATAAAGATCAGAGCAGAAATCAATGAAATAGAAACCAAAAGAACAGTAGTACAGATCAACAAAACTAGGAGCTGGTTCTTTGAAATAATTAATAAGATTGATAAACCCCTGGCCAGACTTATCAAAAAGAAAAGAGAAATGACCCAAATCAACAAAATCATGAATGAAAGAGGAGAGATCACAACCAACACCAAAGAAGTACAATTATAAGAACATATTATGAGCAATTATATGCCAGCAAATTAGATAACCTGGAAGAAATGGATGCATTCCTAGAGATGTATCAACTACTAAAACTGAACCAGGAAGAAATAGAAAACCTGAACAGACCTATAACCACTAAGGAAATTGAAGCAGTCATCAAAAATCTCCCAACAAACAAAAGCCCAGGGCCAGATGGCTTCCCAGGGGAATTCTACCAAACATTTAAAGAAGAATTCATACCTATTCTCCTGAAACTGTTCCAAAAAAATAGAAATGGAAGGAAGACTTCCAAACTCGTTTTATGAGGCCACCATTACCTTGATCCCCAAACCAGACAAAGACCCCATCAAAAAGGAGAATTACAGACCAATATCCTTGATGAACATGGATGCAAAAATTCTCACCAAAATACTAGCCAATAGGATCCAACAGTACATTAAAAGGATTATTCACCACGACCAAGTGGGATTTTCCCTGGGCTGCAAGGTTGGTTCAACATCCGCAAATACAATACATTAAAAGAGGAAAGAACAAGAACTGTATGACCCTCTCAATAGATGCAGAAAAAGCATTTAAGAAAGTACAGCATCCTTTCTTGATCAAAACTCTTCAGTGTATAGGGTTAGAGTACATACCTCAATATCACAAAAGCCATCTATGAAAAACCCACAGGGAATATCATTCTCAATGGGGAAAAAAATGAGAGCTTTCCCCCTAAGGTCAGGAACATGGCAGGGATGTCCACTATCACCACTGCTATTCAACATAGTACTAGAAGTCCTAGCCTCAGCAATCAGACAACAAAAAGAAATCAAAGGCATCTGAATCGGCAAAGAAGAAGTCAAACTCTCACTCTTTGCAGATGATATGATACTTTATGTGGAAAACCCAAAAGACTCCACCCCAAAACTGCTAGAACTCATACAGGAATTCAGTCAAGTGGCAGGCTATAAAATCAATGGCATTCCTATACACCAACAACAAGACAGAAGAAAGAGAAATGAAGGAGTCGATCCCCTTTACAATGGCACCCAAAACCATAAGATACCTAGGAATATATCTAACCAAAGACGCAAAGAATCTGT